CCCCCTCATCTACAGTCTCCGAAACAAGCAAGTCAAGGAGGCTTTAAGGGACTTTTACACCAGGCTCTCTTCTAAGACCTGTAGATACTAATAATTCTGACACCTTATAATAATTAAAAGGTGTCAGAAGACAATTAACATGGGCATTATTTTTTATTTACTCTAGCTTTTATTTTCAGATATATTCTAGGATTTTGAACCTTTGGCTGGAACTGAAGAGTTTATTAATCACAATTAGCCACATAACTGTAGTTTAAGCAGGACTGGATGTTCATGTCCATAGAAAACCGAGAAATGTATTTATATTTGCATGAAATGGCTTCTACTATATTAGCTGTCATAAATAAGTGTTCTTCAAATGGCAACAATTAATTAGAGGTTACAGCCAGGGAGTCAAACCATTAACTGTTTTGGTCCAGTTCCAGTTCAGGTTCAGCTGCAACTGAAGTTGTTCCAGTTTGGTTTTGTTTCTAAAACTGGTTTGGCACACATAACTAACCAGTTCAGGGCCAGTTCACATGATAAAATTTAAATGAGGCACATTATTTATAATGATGATCATTTGCACAGTGGGGTGGAGAAAAAAATAAATGCTAAGTACTTAACAAATAAATGCTTTTTTATTCACACTGTTTAATTTTAATTGTACAATCTGAGACGTGTAATAGGTGAAGAAGCAACCAAATCAATTTTAAAAAGAGGAAGGAAAGGAAAAGGACTTAGTAAATAACCACAGAACAGTCACTGTGCTTATTTCACTTCTCAAGACTATATAATTTTCAACTGATTTAATAAAACTAGGGAAACAAAGAATTATCAACCTTAAACAGATGGATCTTAGGCCTGTTTTATTCCCAACATGCTTGACTTGCATTGTTTTGCACTCAGTATTACAGATTTCTCTCATTTCTATTCAATCTCACTAGCAGAACATCCTCCAAAATTGCCTCCTTGATATTGGATCTTTGTGGTGACAGTATGAATTTTAAACTAAAAAAATGCCTGTTCAGTGCTTACTTGAGTTGATGGAACTGACAAGGCAACCTGAGCCAATAGGTATTGATCACATCTAGATATTTTTTGTCTCCCAGTATTTCAAAATATTTACGTTTTTATTCAATTGTGGCTGATCCAGAAATGAGTCCAGAAATGAACTAATCCTGTTTGACTGGGTGCCAGAAGACGGTGACTCTTGTTGCTTCAAGTTCTTTCTTGACTGAAGGAATGATTCCAAGTCATCATCATCCTTTTCTGTGTGTGTAGTGTGCAGATTAGAGTCAACTGATGATTCGACATTCATACTGTTGCCATGAATGACAATTCCCATCCTCTGCCATGTTGACATGAGATGACACTTGGCTTTAGTTCTGCCCATGTCAGACAACAGCAATTGTTACCTAGAATCTAGGTATATAGTAGGGCTGTGCAAAACGGAAGAGTTTCGTTTCAACCAGCGTTTCAACATTTTGACAGAACAGTGTTTCATTTTGACTTTTGTTTCGAGTTGAAACAGCTGTTCCATTGAAACATTTTGACATTTCTACCCTGTTTTGCCCATAGGATATAATGTGGAAGTTCAAAACAGGATATAACTTTGTCATTTCTGGGCAGAATTGAATGAAACTTGCAGAAGTCATAGCCCCTTCTGAGGACATGATGTGTGTCAAATTTCAGGAAGATTTATATAGGGGATTTGGAGAAACAGAACCCCACAATCCTGAGAACAAAACTCATGTCACGTGTAAGTGTTAAGCCATAGCAGGGTCAAAACTGCAGGGGTAGTAGCCCCTGGTGAGGCCATTCAGCATGCCACATTTCAAGGTGATAGGTGTAGGGGGTTCACCTATCAAAAACTGCACCCCAAAATCCTGAAAGCAAAACTTGTGTCACGTGTACGTGTTAGGACACAGTGGGGTCAAAACCTCAGGCTTGCTGGCCCCTGCTGAGGCCACAAAGCCTGCTAAGTTTCATGGAGAAAGGTTCAGGGGAACTGCACCCCAAATTCTTGAAAGCAAAACTCATGTCACGTGTATGTGTTAAGTCACAGTGGGGTCAGAACTGCAGGCATAGTAGCCCCTGCTGAGCCACAAAGCCTGCCAAAGTTCAAGATGATAGGTGCAGGTGTTTGGGGGGAACTGCACCTCAAACTATGGACAAGCAAAACTCATGTCATGGGTGCTTGTGCAACTGTGTCTGATTGTCAACTGCCCCAAGACCGACACAGTCGGTTGCACAAGCACCCATGACATGAGTTTTGCCTGTCAGCAGCTAGGGGTGCAGGGCCCCAGAACCCAGAAGCCCTGCATATATCTCCTTGAGAGCTGGCAGACTTTGTGACCTCAGCAGGGGCTACCATCCCTTCAGCTTTCACCCTGCTGCACCTTAACACACACAGTGTCACCCATGTCACGAGTTTTGCCTATCAGCTTCCAGAGGTGCAGGGCCCCAGAAGCCCTCTGCACCCATCTCCTTGACAGCTGGCAGTGTGATGGCAGTGTTCAGAGTGTTTCCCATCATGGTCAAGAGGAAGATGAAAGAGTGCAGCAGGAAGAGGAATACCAGCAACTGTGTATTCTCAGTGAAGCCCAGGAATATGAACTCGGTCACATTAATCCAGTTCTCCATGCATGGCTTATCTTTGAGCAATACAAAAACAGTGACTGGCACAATGAGGATAATGTAGAGTCTCCCATCATGCAAACTTCAGGGTAGATAAGTAACTATCTTGTAACTATCCCAATCCAGTGTCAAATGCAAGAAACCAGCAAGCTCAAGGAGCCTCTTGCATGGCTATTATTCATCAGAAATATAGCAAATGATGCTGAGTGCATGGATCTTCACCCAATCTTATTCACCATCTTGAATTATTTACAATCTTGGCTAGTTTCCAAATGACACACCTATTGGGAGGTGGCAAATATGTGATAAAAAAGTCACTGTTAAATAGTCCGCTGATTCACCTGGCTCAATGATCGCACCCAACAACATGCATTTCAAAGGGAGGGACATGAATATACCCACAGGATAAAAAACTCTGTCTGGGAACAGTCACTTTGAAAACAGTGCTTCGAGGTCATTTGAAATAAGTGACTCAGAAGGAGCTCCAACTGTAATACCATGGAGAGAATGGCTAATGCAAACTTTCAGGATATTAGGAAGGGGCATATGCAGGGGGCATATGAAAATGAACTATCCTTTGTTTGCTGTCTGCAGCACAAAATGTTTTAGGGTCTTGAGAACTGACCTGCTTTCATCTAAGAAAAAAAAATATCAGTCCAAGAGAGACATATTGGAAGCAACATAAAGGTATTTCTGAATATTAGCCCAATAGAGGCAGGAGGATGTATAAGATGACTTGGCAGGCTTTTATGTCCTAACTCATTATAAATCTTTCAGAAAAAACTTTCAGTAGATTTGCCTTGTCTCATCTTGCTGTGAATGAGAGCCGCTCACATTTGTTTTCCCCAAGGACAGCAGTTTCAAAATGTCTGGGGACTCAAGTACACTGCACCAGCTCAGGTCACAATGGCTAGTAATCTGGAAAGTTTTCCTTGCCTGTATATTAGCTTTATTCCTTTTCTGCCCTCATGTCCCTCCTGCTTATAACCTGCTTACCCTAGACAGAGACCTCTTTTAGATAGAGATCTCTTGGATCTTATCCAAAACCTGTGAAGGGCAATGGAAAGTCCAACCTGTGTAGAGTGTATTTGGCCCAGTTATATTATCTGCATATATAATATCCTGTCCCAATAAGGCAATGCTCAATCAGACAGGGACTGTCCTTTCTTGATGCTTTTGGGTATGCAAAGTCTCTCTCACACCCATGATTATCTCCCTCAACCATACCATAAAATGGACATTCAAAAAGCAGTGTCCATCAAAACAAGTTGCCCAGGGCTCCTCAAGACTTCAGCACCTTGAATGACCACTTTAGACATTATGATCTGAGCAAGCTAAGCATTTATTATTCCACCATGAAGTGATGGACCCTCATGGAATATATTGAACAAAAATGTAGCACTCATTTCAGAGCTATTTCTAGTATTTTGAACAACTGTTATCTATGGCAACAGGCCAATACATCTCCCTGTGTTTTTGAACATGGGATTGATCCACGGTTATGGACTCTTCATGCCAAATATTAGCTCCTCCATTCTTTTTTTCAGCCACTTTTTATAGTTTTTTGGTTATGTTGAATTCTCTTCTCTCGATGCCAGTGGATCTTTAGACGCCAATTAAGTAGTGAGCTTTTTTTTGGAATTTTTTTGACAGAATATCTCTGATCACTTTTTTCATATTGTGTTCTGGAATCAGGGGTCTTTGTCTAAATTTCTGTCTCTCTGTCTCTCTCTCTTTCTGGAGACAGCATAGGTTAAATCCCCTTTCCCTTTCCATATCTAAGTGGAGATTACGTATTCAGGAATTTACAAGGCTTGCTATGTATCCACAGTTTAGAGTCCAAATACCTATGTTCACCCTGTGCTTCCCTTCTGAACATGTAGGCTGCATTTTAGCTGCAAGGGTCAGCCATGAGGCACAGAATTGCATGGACATACATGTAATATTGGGTAGGTTCCAAAATGCTGGTTCTAACAAAAGTGCACATTTGTTGGAGGAGATGGGCCACGGTGCCTTATTGCCCAACTGCCTGCAAGGTGGGACACATTAGCACCAAGGGAGACACCTGAGTTCAGTTGCATCCATCACTCAAGGCTTGAGTTTGCCTTCTGCCTTGCAGCCAACAGCCTGAACCATCAGAGCACAGCTGAGGCATTACAGAGTAGGACAATGACTTTGGCTGCCTGCTTCTAGAGTTCATAAAGCATTCAGCTGCCACAATGCCAAGAGCTGTACATCCCTAATTACCCTGACTATCCTTGAGGAAGTGAATGTGGAGACTAACGATCCACTCTGCTCTGCTGGAAGAGGGCTGATATAAAAATGTCCACATCCTTTCTTTTGGAAGTTTGGTTTAAGCAGAGAACTGCATGGCTCGTGTTTATTTCCAGGAGACAATATTACATGTGTGTCACAATGAACCAGATTTAGACTGGTCATCTTGATGCTTCCACTTTAGCACTGCAATGTTCAGGAGAGGTGTCTGTCTACCTGGCACGTAGGGACCTGACTTAGGATGCATATTAAAAGCCTCTATCCACTTCTGATTCAGAATGCCTAGTGCTACCAAGTCTATAACCACACACAAACAGAGTTAATCATATTCAGACAGCAGCCACAAAGGAGTTAATCATATTCAATCACGTCCTTTATGGGCATTCTGATGGAATCACTTGGTTTGGCCCCTCAACCCTTGAACACCAGGACCCATAATCTATAGTAAGATTTAATTCTCTCTGCACTCATTTTAACTGAAATAATTATAAGTGAGATGCAGCTGTTTCTAGCTGTTCCTCAGGAGAACCCGCAGACATAGGAAATCAAGGAAGTGCATATTATCTGGCTGCTAATAGGCAGGCAATCTTAGTAGATAATTGCAATGCGTGATTTGATTGTGGTGGAGGCCTGAAACTTAGACAAACCTTCTTTTTTCATCTCTCTCTCTCTCTCTCTTTCTCCCTCTCTCCTCAAGCCAGGATCACTTTGTTCCAGATGATGAGAATGGTCTTTTGGGTAAAGATAAGGCAGCATCTTTCTCTGTTGCATGGATTGATTTAAGGGGTTAGAGTACTTTGCCTGGGGAAATGTTAGCTGGACCCCTTAGAAGCCAAAATGGCTCATGTCCTGATGGAGGGATTGTACCCCACCACTCCTTGCTGTACTGGAAAAGGGTCCATGCAGCTTTACTGTGGTGGGGGCGAATTCAGGGGTGTGAAAGGATTGCGCTGGTGGAGATGGTGGAAACTGAGCTTGTAGAAGAAAGACTCAAGCCTGCTCGTATAATGGCTCACTCTGGAGCAGGATTTGAGCATATAATGGGTGACCTAAATGCAGTGTTGCCTGGTACTTTCCATCCTTCAGTTGAGGATGGCTATGAAACACTGACGTATTCCCCTGATGTACACACAAATTTGCTTGTGCAGCTGAAAACCTGTCACAACCACAGAACAGGTAATAGAGTATGGGGTCGGTATGGCCATTCCCTTTTGATATTATATTTAAGCTGCTTTGAACTTTGTACCTTCACTGTGTTGAAAAACTGCCAGAAACAAGTACAATGATTTGTCTGTGCATGGATCAGAATGGAGATGCAAAGGAATGGAGCATAGGATTGTGAATGCCAGTGTGTGCAATATACTGATGTATATCAGAAGATTGGATGGTGTTATAAATCTGCTACATAACTGCAAAGAGAAACTGTGAATGTAATGTTTGACCCCAGTACTCTTTCCTGCTGTGGCAGGGGGTCGGACTTGATGATCTGCTCAGGTCCCTTCTGACCCTACCTACTATGAATTCTACAGATGCTTGACAACACCCATTTGGAAGGTCTATTCCTGGGGCTATTTAGCTACTCAGGTGGGAAAAGCAGAGGCTGGGGAGGGGAGAGGGGGAGAGAGAGAGTGAATGTCAGGGGGAAGAATCCTTGAATGAAACAGTATCTGGTTTGCAAGTTACTTGATGTAAAATGCCTTTCACAGAGAGAGAGAGAGAGACTGGGAGAATGGCAGATAGAGAATGGGAACTCTTGGTGGTTTCTCTGTGGTTTTCAAACTCAACTTCTACTTGCATAACAAATTACAGCTGCTGCTTCTCATTCCCTGGTCTCTGCCCCCCTCTTGTGAATGAGAAAATGAACTGATTTCAATCTTAGAATAAAATAAAATCAACCTACTGCAGTCACAGCTGGATTTCTCCAACCCATTTCTTCTGGAAGCCAGTGTTTCCAAGTTGTACGGACTGGGATTCACCTTCTCAAGGGACAAAGCTGTATATAGAGGAGTCTTAGACAAAACAAATGGATTCATCCTGGGAGAAAAATATGTGATCGGTTCTATCTTATAAGAAGAGAAATTCTAAAAAACAATTAAATAAAAATTGTTAAGACCTGCTCTATTCCCCTCTGTTCAGTTGTGGTTTTCACAGGTGCTTTTATTACCATAATGTCCGATCACTTTTAAGAACTATGAGAGTCATGGGATTCAGATCTCTAAAGACCACAACAGAGTGAGAAATTAGTGTCAAGCATTTGGGGAGATGATTAGTATGACCAAGAGGAAATTCTGCTTCCCCAAACAATTGGAAACAATTCAGAATGGCAACTATCACCACAGAATGGATATACACAAAACAGTCCTTTGGAGAGGCACGAAATAGGATTTTCAGAACACATTTTGATAGATGCTTTCCATGCTGAGTCAGCTCCGCTGCTATTCCTCCTTGAGAAGGGAACATGGTATTTCTACCTTCCTATTAGTGGTTTCTCTCAAGTATTTGGTAATTGCTTTCCTGGGCCACTCAAAAGGGGATTACACTCCAAATATTCTTGTTCTGTTTTCTTGCAAGATGTAAGAGCTTTTTACCATGTAGTATATTGATGCTCAGGTGATAACTGTACAATAAAATCAACCTCAAGTCTGATGCTTTCCCCGTGCTGCAGGTGGAGGAGATGATAGAAAAGATTGGCCCAGGCCAAATATATTTCCACACTAGATTTAACAAAAGGTTACTGGCAGAAACCCAGAAAATCTATACTAATAGAAACAGAATTCATTAATAAAAAAAGTCTTTCTTGAGGCACTACTTAGTAACAA